GAATAGTGATCAATAAAAAAATTATAGAAGATTAAACTCCTACCCCTTAAGAACTTAACCTTTCACTTTTTAACACAGTAATGTGAGTTTTTATTGAAAATTTCTGAACTTTTCATGAAAATTGTGAAACATCAAAATCTGAAAGAATACTATTTAAAAGAATACTTTCTGAAAAATAAACACGCCGTAAGAGAGATCACCATCGGCCTTATATGACTTTTTGTGTATATAAGGCCAGATATAAGCCGGCACTGTGCAGCATTTAGATGTTCACCGAAACAGGCTGTAAAAACATGTTACAATGGTCATAACGGCTAGGGGCCCTACCGTTTTATAGTAGTGAAAGTAAGATTTTCTGAGCCATGCTATAATCACACATTTAAAATATTTACTAATTGGAAGTAATACTTGTGCTCTCCAGACACCACGCTCAGTGTGCATACTGTTCAAAGAGCCATGCAAGCGGCTTGCCGGAGAGGTGTCGAAAGTGCTAAATGCGCTGGGCGACAGCATAAGAAATAAGCGCATGTGTTCGTCGCAACTTCTCTCGGACAAGTTACACGATGCTTTACAGGACCTCAACACTGCCTTGAAATCGCAACCCCGCCTCTTCGTTGGCTCCAACCATGGCTCAGGCCATGGCCACTCTGATCGCAAATCTCCACGGTTTTCATCTTTTGTTGACCAACTAACCCCAAAACATGCCAATGCCTCATCCCCTGTAAACCGGATTCCGATCAAGGACATGGGAATATCATCCCCTGCAGTCAAGGTTCCACTCAAAGATGCAGGAAATTCACCTCACGCCAACCAAATATCAGCAAAAGATGCCGGAAATTCACCTCATGCCAACCAAATGTCAGCCAAAGACACCGGAAATTCACCTCACGCCAGCAAAATTTCATCCAGAGATGAAGAAAATTCACCTCATGCTGGCCAAATTCCGACTAGAGAGTCCGGAGTCTCATTACCCTCAGTGAAAACTGACACCTCTGCATTGCTCGAATGGAAAGGCAAGAGGCTCACTTCTTGGAATAGGGATAGGGAAAAGTCAGCAAGTCCAAGAGTTCTAAGGCCAACACTCAGTAAAATCATGCTTACAACCCTTGAGTTTTCGGAGGCCCTGCCTCTCGCTGCATTCGTATCATTGCTTGTGGAAACAGTTGCAAGGCTCGAATGTGTGGTCGAGGAGGCGGAGGAGCTCGGAAGGCTCGCCGGATTTCAAGAGATCGATGAGGCACCGGTCAGTGAGGTTTTAATAGAGTGTGAGAAGCCAAAAGAGAAGAACGATAAGAAACTGCTAAGTCACACGGTGAGCGTTGCCATAGATTGACGAGGAGAGGGTTGGCCTTGCTGCCCATTGTTAACAGTGCAGATCTCGGACAATACCAGATGCATCCCCGCATCACACCCAAAACTTTTTCCCTTTAGCGAGTTGGGTATGTATGTCAATATATTTATGTTTTTATACTTTGGTAGAAATTTGTTATACATATGAGACATCAGGACTACACAAACAAATGAGATTGGGATAAATCGATGAGGTAAATGTGATTGATGAGTACGTGTGATTGTTTTGGCCTAATCAATAGTAACTCCTCCTCGAATGGATACGCTGTATCGACATTAATAGCTATTGACAAAATTTATAGGTTTTTAGTAGGCCCCACCCCAAGGAGCAGCAGATAATGTGATAAGGCTCATATGGCTCCCAAGACATATGAAAGTGCTCAACACCTCTCTCTCTCTCGACATAAAAGTGCTCAAGAACCCTCTCTCACGACATGTAAAAGTGCTCAAGACGCCCTGGCTCCCTCATGTGTTCTACATTTAAAATCAATGGAATTAGCAGTTTTTTCCAATGGAATACAAACAAGAGAGACCAAAAACCTGAGCCCAAATACCATCAAATTGATCTGCCCTTCTCTCCTTCACTTCTGCAAGGCACCTTCTTAGCAGGTAAAGCTCCCCACAACTAATAATATCAATTCATCTCTTTCTTTTTCATTTTCTTTTGTGGTGGCCACTCAAGTCTATATCGAAATTAACCAAAATAATAATAATAATAATAATAATTCAAATGGGCAGTCACGATTGTTAAATAGACTGAAAATCTACATTGTAGATAGGAATTCCATGTTATGCTTTTGGAGTTTCCAAACCATCCAATTTTATCTTCTCTAACTCAGATACATAAGATGAAATGACACATTTCATAGAAATGATGATAAATATGTTTTATTTCCTGCAAAAATTTAAGCAGTCATTTAAAAATTGTGGACCCAATTCGGAATTGGATCGGGCTCGGGTGCAGGTGATTCCAGTTTGGGGAACCCTAGATTCTCCCAGTTTATAGATTTTTCTTTGTTAAATATGGCCCAGTCCAACTCCGGAATAGGCCAAGTCAGACCAGGCAAATTGGACTGAGAACCTGGGAAATCAGAGCCCGATTCAACTTTTCAAACAGATATTTTGTCTAGGCCTCTATTAATCAGATGTTTTATAGAGGCAAATGCTAATAGGTGTAAAAACATTTTGAGGTTCAATATACTTTCTTTCATAATAAAAAAATAGAAACGTTTTAACTAAATTAAATGACCTTTTTATGTTATGGGCCGCATGCAACTTTATGTTCCAAACATATTTTCCCACAATCTCAATTGTTTTTCAGTAATATATTATTTTCAAAAAGGACAAGTTTAGATTTTGGGTTTTCTCAGGTTTCTTAGAGAAAATTAATGAAAGAAGGAAACCATAGAAAACGTGAAATCAATATAAGACATAGAGTATATTTGAAGATAATCAAAGTTAGAAGTGAAAAGAAAATGCCAAAAACAAATCCCAAAGGAAAGGGAAAAAAAGTCCCTCTCAAAATGATCTCGAGCATATCCTCCTAACCATCCAAAATAATTTGTGTTCCATTGCGACATGTTTCTCTAAACATAGGTTGCAAAGACACAAAAAGTAATTAATGCAACATGTAAATACCTATAAAATCCCAAAGGAAAGGGGGAAAAAAAAGTCCCTCTCAAAATGATCTCGAGACTATCCTTCTAACCATCCAAAATAATTTGTGTTCCACTGTGACATGTTTCTCTAAACATAGGTTACAGAGACACAAAAAGTAATTAATGCAATACATTAGTGAGTTCATTATATTGCATCAAAACAAATACATTAACTTAAAGATGTTGCACATTTTTTAGTAGCTTATATTTTTCTAATAGCAATTGCATTAAGTAAATATGTGCTTTTATTTTATATTCATAAGTTACTATAAAGTGTAACTTATCATCGTCACCATCACTATCACCACCACCATCATCATCATTATCATCATTCTTAAGGGTGAGTAAGCCCCAAAACACTAACCCAAGAGGCTGAAACGTTGTTTTTTTTTTTTCTTTGAATTCTAGAAGAAATAACTCTATTTTTGTTATTGATAATCAAATTGGTTCTTAAGAACTAATAAAAATTAAATAAAACATGGTCCCAAGGTCGAGAGCTGAAGTGTTGCTACAAGGCATCCATTGATGGCTTCAGTGCCACCAACTTCCATGCATGCTGCGACTTCAAGGGACCCTGTGTGATAATGGGGTACACCACCAAGTCCTTCAAGTTTGGTGCCTTCAACCCAGAGGGCTATAGGAGCACGGATGACTACTATGACACATTTGATGCATTCCTATTCTATTGGAGAGATACCAAAGGAAATGTTAGAGAGAGTGAGAAACCAATCAAATTGCGAAAAATAGGGGGGAGTGGGGCTGCCCTATTTGATTATGCAAGAGGTGGACCCCAATTTGGGGCAGATGGGCTTTTGATCGGGCCCCCACTTGCACCCGTAATGGGAGGGTTTGCAGGTCCCGACACGAATTCGGGCATCGGTGACCTTAGGCAGGCCAAGTCTAGACTGGGGTTGTCTTATGCCAAGAGAGAGGATGGGAAGGAGTCATTGTTTGGAGATGATAATAGGACAACCTTAGAAGAAGTGGAGGTCTTTTGTAGCCCTAAAATTGCAAGCTTGTACTGAGACAAAACTACATAAATGCATGCAAAAAAATGAGGCATCCAATGTATGGTGTGGGTATGTATTGCAGTTATGTGATGTCATCTGACAGTTATATGATATAGAGAGAGAGAGATAGAGAGCGAGAAATAAACATAAAAGTATAGAACTAATATATTCAAATTACAATTGTGTGTTGATCTCTAGTTGGAAGAGGAGTTTCTAAAGTGTAATGGCCAAGCCTACCAGTTCTATACAAGTTTATTAACTTGGTGGAAACTCTGTGTAACTTATCGTTACCTGAATCTGGAGGTATTCGAAAGGCCTCAAGCAAGGCAAGAAGCTGAGATTCAATCAATCGCATCATTTGACTCTCATGTTCCAAATTACCCTGGAAAGTGGAGATTGTGTTGTACAGGACGCGACGTACATCCTTCACAATGAAATCCTGTAAGAAATATGTACATACGCAACTCAATATTGCAACAACCATATGCTATAATCAAAGTGATGAAAAAAAGGAAAACTTTGAAAGAATCTAAAGGGGAGAAAAAACATTCTCTCTGATTCGACTTCCTAGATTTTGATATTTCAATGGCAGTTTGATTCAACCAATTATGTCATGACTGATGCAAAATTATCAGAAACTGATTGATATTTCCAAGAGGGAAAAATAACTACATGTTTCCCGTGAGGAGAAACGTAGAAAACACTCTAAAATGTTTGAAGTCAATATCTCATGATCTTTCTAATGCTCAAATTGAATGTCAAATAGAATGCGGTCTAGTCTCCATTCAATATTAAGAGATATTTTCCGAATTCAGAAATGACATTTAGATATATTAGTGTGTATTTTCAAAATTCCAATATTGGGTCAGGCAAAGAGTTGAAGTAGACAGCATTTCCAAAATAAAACTCAACAATAGTAAAGGGCTCAAAATGGGTAATAACACATGCATCCACATCCACACAAGCACATATGAAAATGATAAAATTAATTTTAGACAGGAACAAAAAATAATGCACCATATCCCTCCCTCCCTCTCTTCCTCCCCCACCATATCTAACACAAAATGCCTCATCTGCGAAACAAGAATCAGAATATCGACATGGATCTTTACTGGAAAGATCAGATAATTTCATATGACCAGACAAAATAATTCCAATCAATAAAATTAGAGGAATCTCACATGTTAACTTTTGGATCAACATGCCCCAACTCGAGGACTTGCAACTACACTTGTTAAACCATGGAATCCAGACTCATTTCCTTCATCTCAACAAGTTCTATTTTCATACACGCAATAATATATTCTTTCAAATTAACATATCAATCAAGGTTCTGGAACCATCAAATGAAATCAAGGAGAAAAGCTTTGATATACCTGAGTGTGATCTGTGGGGTACTGCCTTTTCTTCCTTCCTGGTTCAGCACTATCTGAATCTCTGCCCAAGAGGTGATTCTGAGATGGCCCATTGTTATCCTCTTGGGCTTTCAAGTTCTTCCAGTGCCTGTATTCCTCAGAACTGTTGAGGATGGCCAGAAAATATTTTGCAATCTGATATTCTCCAGCCAAACTATCCTCTATAGCACCTGGTATTGATAAAACTTGAGAACGTGAACACATAATAGATGCAAACAACACAATAAATTAATTTGCAGAAACAAATAGAAAATGAAATAAAATATCTGAGCCCATAAATTTTGTAAAGGCAATCTTTTTTTTTGGATTTTCAAAGGCAGAAAGTATGTTATAATCCAATAAACTATAAAGAAACCAAACTATTACGTCATTGCCATCCATTGAAACAATTATCAATGATGGACAGGGAGTGGAACCTGTGTCAAATGAAAATTTCCACGGCACCAATACTACTAATTGGAAGAATAATCCCCAATATTTTCAATCTAATAAAGTTTGATCCATACAAGGTGAAACAAAACACTGCTAAGGTCTTTCCCTAAGTACAATTAGTGACTTAGCCAGGAGTTGCAAATGTTTGGTATTCTTAAAAGAAATTGATTAGCACCTGTTAAAGCAAGATTTGAGCACATCTCGATGTTCAGAACTTCGGGAACCAAAACACCTGGCGTATCTAAGACAAATATATTGGGCTTGCTCGCTATCTGCAGGGATAAAATAACAACTAATACTTCCTGTGATTGTAATAGGATATCTTTAAAGTACTTAGGAAAAAAAGTCACAGACCGACTGAGATACAAGTAATAGCTAAACTTGCGCACTATCAAAATCACCATTTATTGCAGCCATGGAAACATACCCCTCAAGCTAAGAAGTATAAAACGTTGAAAGTAAAACCTCAATTATATTTGTAGATTAGATTCTTCAACTTGAAAACTTAAATAATATTTTAAATTTTATAATTTACTATTGATTGTCAAGACAGTACATACTGATCTCTTACACAAGATCTACATGTAGAATAGTGGTAAGTGCTAAGATAGCTGGAGAGTACTCAAATGTTAAGGCTTCACCAGAACAACCCTCCTAACCAAGGAACTGGGGACCTTGTTGGCATCCTCGATGATATGATGATATGAGATGGCCAATGGTTCTCAAATCTCAAAAATATTGTCTAGGATGACCCCTAAATATTGGATGTACACAAAGAAAGGATTGGGCAACAAAACAACTATTTAAAAATATAACACAATTTTACCAGTAATAAAAAGAAAAAACCATTACACACCTTAAAACTACCAATATCTTTTGTTTCTCCTGGGTGTGGACTCACTATTGTATGCTTCAGTTTCCCCTTCTCTAGGAATAGAATAAAGCACAAATTGCAAGAAAGAATAAGACATGTCAGAAATAAGATAATCCAACAAGGGGTTAATATTCCTGGATCTTACTTTCTATTTCACACCAGTCTCAAATTTAAGTTGGATACCCGTAGAACTAATTCGACCAATTTGATGCAGAGAGTTAACAATGGCTGACTTCCCAACATTTGGAATTCCAACGACCATTATAGTTGCCGTAGGCTTTGAACGATCAACATTCATTTTGCTTACTTGTGCTTGTATAAAATTTAGCAACTGCATAAACAACACGAAACACTTTACCCAAAACACAAACAGGAAATATCAGCAACAATACCCAAATATCAGGGAAATATCCCAATATTAGAGCACTAATGAATCTAACTTCCAAAAACCAAAAAGAAAAAAAAGTCTATCTAGTTTCTGTAATGACAACACATTTTAAGAACCTTCTTCATAAATCAACAATGAAACCATAATAATGAGGCACCCTGAGATAATCTCCAAAAGCTCCATACTGACCATACATAAGATAATTTTTTCCAGGAAGGTCAATAGTAAAGCGAATACGAAGCAGACATCTAAACAAGGAACAAGTTGATAATAGGATTACACCCCCTAATATAAATGAGAGAACCCATTCACCTTTGCTAAGGACCTGGGAAACCTATTTCCACATGCCTCTATTTATGAGACGAAGAGGTACCTTTGTAATATCATCTTTATTGTGGGCATTGAGACCACAGCAATTGTAGTTCTGTCCTTCAAAATGCCTCATCCAATTCTAAGAGAACAAGAAGTTTCAGAGAACAATGATTAGTATTTTCTGTCAACTATAAAAAAAAAAAGAAATAATGAAAAAGAGAACCATGAGTAGTTCAGTACTTGATCAACATTTATTCCGGTGTTTTCAAACTTCGCTCAGGCAGTAACTCGGCCAAGTCCGAGTGAATGCAGCCAAGTAGTATACAGGGCCAAAAGGCCCTAAAAATTTTAAAAAAATTCAAAACATTTGTTTAAAAATAAAACAAAAATTGTAAAACTGAAACAAAACCAAAGACAAACAAAAAATATCCAAAAAGATAAATAAAATAGGGAATTAAGAAATTTGATTTATGGCTGGAGACATTTCAAAAAAATTCAAAAAAGAGGAAAATATAAAGAAAGGGCATATGACAAGAAAAATTCACAAATCATCGTAAAAAAATCCAAATCACATATAATTTTTATGCATTAATTCAACATTTTTATATAATTTCCACATTTTTTAAAAAAATTTAAATGGCACAAGTTGCACCTGAGTACTCCGCGCGGCAAAGAGCTGAGTCCGGTTGGACTCATCTGAGTTTTCAATCTCTGATTTCTATTAACACTTATAAACCAATCCATTGATGCTATGAAAAAAATAAGCAAGAAATGGTCAATAGAGATGTAAAGCAGGCCAGGCATCCAACATTAGGAGCTAAGATGATTCACATCTATCTTAGTAACAGAACAAGTCCTTAATCAATCTTCTGATTGACCAATATTTTCAAGCCCTCGCTTTCATTTCTTGAATTGGTGGCATATCATAAATATATAATGCAAAAAAAAAAAAAAGGAACACCCCGGAAGATGAAAATTCAAATACTCATATAACATTAAGCATTAAAGAAGAAATTTAGACTAAGGTGGGTACCTGCGTTTGTGAAGGACTAGCTAAATCCTTCTTGTTTAAGACTACCAAATGCCTAGACTTCGATGGAATATGTTGAGAATTTTGGTATTTAGATGAAAATGGCACCTGTATACACATATAATAAAAGCACAAAGAGCACTTTAATCCATGAAGCTTTGCCCTAATCATTCATCAAATTTAAGCAAAGAACCCTTAGTCTAGAAACTGTTTTGCAAAAATGGGTTGGCCCATAACCAACATTTATACAAAGAAACCCAAACTGTTAATTATGTAGCATATCAAAGCTCATAGCATCAGTTAACAAAAAACAAAAGAAATCAAATAACACATTTAATAAAAGATAAAAAAAAAAAAAAAGAAGGAAAGAAGAAATCTTGACTTACCCTTGAATCCCTAATTTCCAAAATGTAGTCAACCAAAGGAAAACGTTCTATAATGGCTTGAGAAGCAGTGGCCATCAAAGGAGTGAACCAGCTTCGACCCCCTTTTGACGCATCCATGACAGAAAACCCTAACCCCCTGGCAAAACTCGCCCTAGCCATGACGAGCACAACAAAAAAAATGTTTTTTTTCCAGGAAAGAGTGGAATTTCTCAATGGCGTTGTTACAAAGTAAAGTGCTCACTCCATGGATGCTCCCTGTAAACCCTAGGACAAGGCTCAAAAGACAGAAATTGGGAGGCTTTTTAGGGTTTTTTTTTGGTCAGTTAAATGTTTGTGTCCACCATGAACGCCGCATCTCAACTGCTAACGAATAGCCGTTGCCAAAGGTAAAAAAATGGAGACTTTCTTGGCTGTAAAATTTGAATTTCTCCAATGGCGTTCTGCGTAAAGCACTGCACTCGCCCCCTCCATGTCAGTACAGTGATACCTGGGGAGAGAGAGAGCGGGGTGCGACATTGTTAACCCAAAAGGACTAAATTGCCCTTCAAGAGAGAGAAAGAGAGGTCCAACCAAGGAGGCTGAAGACCTCACTTACCAACGGGTCGGGTCTCCGTCCGGGTCCGGCCAGACTTGAAAATATATTGTAGGTCCTGGTCCTGGCCCTGGACCTGGACTTGGGACTTGAGTCGGGACCCGGACCTGATCCAAAAATTAAATATCCATGTATTTAACTATAGAAAAAGTTTATATAAGTACGAGGCTCTAGACAATCAAATTAGGACACACCTCAAAAATATCATTAGAAGAGGTTATTTTGATGCTCAGATATCCTCAAATTGATCATCTCGACATCAAGATGCATGGACATAAGAAAAAAAAAATAGATTTCAAGTTTTGGAAATAGTGCATCTTGTAATGTATTTTTGGACCGTCAATTTTTAAGATTTTCAAGTTTTCATAGATATGCTCTATCTACACTATTTTTTAAGCTTTAAAATTTATAATTGAAGATGAAAATATATTTTAAAGCTATCACAAACATTTTCAATATTGAAATTATATTTTTTTATACCATTCGAAGGTGTGCTTTATTTTGATTGTTTAGAACCTCGATTCTACACAAACTGTGCCCTTTGATTTTATTTAAATATTTTTATAAAGTGGGACTTGAGAAAATATTATGGGCCCCGAATCGGGACCATACCATACCCAATTGGACCAGGACCCTAACCCAAATGGTGATTAGGTCCAAGATCTGAACCCGGACCCTACCCGTTAGGTCCAATTTTTGGACCATATGTGGAACTCGGTTGGGTCCAAGTCCATTGGCATCTGCCACCCCTACTTACCCAATATCAATTTAAAACCCAACGATTATCGATCCGGGTTGTCAATCTAGATGGGAATTAGTCAGGCTAGCCTGCTATCAGAAAGCTATGGGGGCCAGCCTAGAATCAAAAACTTTTGAGGGTTTGTGATGAATAATAGGAACTTAGAAATGGAGGCTGAGAATGTTCCTTTTGAGTAAAACCTTGTAGAAGCCTCTTGAAAAGGTGGAAAGCTAGTAGAATCAAAGGGGCATATTTCTTGTTTGTGAGTGCTACTGATCACAGCAAAAGCAAGCCAGCCCACTGAGAAGGACCTTAGTGAATAAACATTCTAAGACACTCATGAAACCACAGAAAAAGCACACTTCTTGAAAGGTCTTGTTCACTAAAAACTGATTCCCTAAAGTTTATTTATTCTAAACAAAACCTCATATCACTTAAAACACTTCCTGCTCTTGGAGGGAAATGCAATTTCATGTTTTGGACTCTCTCTCTCCCTCACACAAAACACATCATAAAAATTCATACACAAACAATAGATCATTAATATCCTAATGATCAACTCAACTGAATAAAATTTTGTTGAAAGTAGAGCTCTCTCTCAAAGCACATGCACGTATGCACACACACACAATAAATCATTAATATCCTTAGGACCAATATAACCAAATAAAATTTAGTTGAAAATAGAGCTGTCTCTCCCTCTGACATGCGCACACACGCACCTGCGCTCATACACACATAAACCCACGGAAGTACTAAGGATCGATTCAACCACTAGGAAACATCATTGAAAATCGAAGACCTGGTGCTTTTTAAGCATGGGATGATAAGATGAATTAGAAAGAAACATGGGAATTAAACCAGAAGCTGCTGTGACTTACATGAGCATTGAGCAGCATCTCAGTTTTTCAGGCAATCAGATTTGCACCCATTTCTCCTCAAAGCCTTCACAATTCTGGAACTGTTTGCATGTCCTCTCACCACCACCTTCTTGCACCTCAATTCTACTTTCACTTTTTTTGACCCCTACTGGAAAACAATCACATACATGAATCTCTCTCTCTCTCTC